TACTCATTTGCCCTCCTAGTAGTTGTGCTCTATTGACACGTACTGATGGTACTCATTGAAGCTCCTCTTCTCTGTCTTTCGTAATCTTTTCAGACTGGGTTGCTGTCACTAGTTCCACTGATACTGCGATAACCAGAGTTTCAGGTGGCTGTGTGTAACCACCATCTTCATTTTCACGCTCATCCTTTGTTTCTGCTTGCTGCTGTCTTCTCTTTGTTGTCCTTTTTAGCTCTTCAATTTTCTATGAGAACTTTCTGGTGCCCTTCCTTTCTTTCTCTGTGTGATATTTTTTAGGTCATTTAATTCCAACAAACAAAACAACTGCTGTCTATGATCGTGTTTTACTGATGCACCTTTTAACGTCATGCCTGATTGCTCCGGTCTAAATTAAAAATATCGGCTGAAGCAGAACTTCTAATGCCATCAGTCAGGTCCTGCTTTGACCGCCCTGACCTCCTTCTGTGACAAGGTGACCTGCTTAGTGGATGAGGGAAAATCTGTGGATATTGTCTACCTGGAGTTTAGTAATACTATTGGCACTGGTTCCCACAGCATTCTTCTGGAGAAACTGGCTGCTTGTGGTCTGGACGGGTGTACGCTTCACTAGGTGAAAATCTGGCTGGATGGCCAGGCCCAAAGAGTTGTGGTGAATGGAGTTAAACCCAGTTGACAGCCAGTCACCAGTGGTGTTCCCCAGGACTTGGTACTGGGGCCAGTTCTGTTCAATGTCTTTATCAGTGATCTGGATGAGGGGATCAAGTGCAGGTGACACCAAGTTCTAGGAGGTTCAACAAGGCCAAGTGCTGGGTCCTGCAGTGGGGTCACAGCAACCCACTGCAATGCTACAGGCTTGGGGATGAGTGGCTGGAAAGCTGCCAGATGGAAAAGGACCTGGTGTTGTGGGTCAACAGTGGCTGAATGTGAGCCAGCAGTGTGCCCAGGTGGCCAAGAGGGCCAATGGCCCCCTGGCCTGCATCAGGGACAGTGTGGCCAGCAGGACCAGGGCAGTGATTGTCCCCCTGTACTGGGTACTAGAGAGGCCGCACCTCAAATCCTGTGTTCGGTGTGGGGCCCCTCACTGCAAGACAGACACTGAGGGGCTGGAGCGTGTCCAGAGAAGGGCAGCGGAGCTGGGGAAGGGTCTGGAGCACAAGTCCTGTGAGGAGCAGCTGAGGGAGCTGGGGGTGTTCAGCCTGGAGAAGAGGAGGCTCAGGGGAGACATTACTGCTCTCTACAATCCCCTGAAAGGAGATTGTAGTGGGGTGGGGGTTGGTCCCTTCCAACTAAGAAGGGAATGGACAAGAGAAAATGGCCTCAAGGTGCGCAGGGGAGGTTTAGATTGGATATTGGGGAAAATTCTTCGTGGAAAGGGTTGTCAGGCCCTGGAACAGGCTGCCCAGGGAGGTGGTTGAGTCATCATCCCTGGAGGTATTTAAAATACGTGTAGATGTGCTTAAGGACATGGTTTAGTGGTGGACTGGGCAATGTTAGTTTAATGATTAGACTTGATGATCTTTAAGGTCTTTTCCAACCTAAATGATTCTGTAGTCTGCTCGGTTTTCCTTACTACCTTGTTTCCTAATGTATGGGTAAAGAGGCCATCCTGCTTGTAGCTTAAGTTCAAAATGGGAAGTCCTTCTTCCTTTTGGACCTCTTTGGATCTGTATTTTAACTAAACCAAGCAGATTGTGTCTAAATACTATTTTTTTAAATATGTTCTCTCTGTTGGCCAGCATGGCTGAAACACTTAGGAGTTCACATGTCTCAATTACCGCAGCATCTTTCTCCATCCTTAACAAAAGAGAATTTGGCCTCTTCGTGCGTGTTAGGGAGTGCAGCTGAAAGATTACTTCTAGCCTCGCGCTTACAGTATAGCCCCATAGTTTGCATCCTTTTACTGAAAGTAAAAGCAGTTTGCTTGAAGAGATACAGAGGAAAAGATGCTTTATGATTTGCCAGTAGCATATCTTATTTCTACGTGGGTACTACAGAAATGTGACTCCTGTTTCCGTTTGTCCACTGCTGCCTGTTTCTTCTAGCAAGACACTTGAGTAAACCCACACATGCTCTCTCCAGTGGTGCCATGCACACCTGGGATGAAAGGCCCATAAACCTCTGCTTGACAGCACCTTTGCTTGCTTGCAGATTTCCCATTTGGCTGCTAGATTGGTTTTTGGCTTTTTGTTTGTTGTGTTTTGGTTTGTGTGATGGACCCCAAAAGCTGGTTGTGTATTTATTTTCTGGAATGCAGACCTATACGGTTGACCGTATATTCCCTCCTCTTCACTTCATACTTCGGTTGTAAGCCCTTAGGGGGCAGGGTAGTCTTCAACTTCAAGTGGTACCTTCCCATTGGTCATAGACTGGGGATTCCATGTGCTAAGCTAATAATAATAACAACTAATTTATACTTTTTTTTTTTTAACAGTTCATAGAGGGGCCATTTGAAGAGTATTTAAAAAGTTTGGAAAATCCACAGGTATGTTAAACTTGATTTACAACTGAAAGCAGTACTTTTGGTGAAGTTGGTGTGTAATAGGACTTTTTATTCTCAAAGGTGTTTGAGCTTGTGTACTCTCGTACACGTGTGTACTCTACTGTAAAATGATTTGAGAAATTTTTGTCTTGCTTTAAACCTGTTATTTCTCAAAATTGTATTTGATTTGAAGCAAAATTATTACTAGTCCCCCAGTTTAATTTTACTAGTTTTATTAGGGAGTTAACAATTTGAGCAAGCCGAGGAGGAGGAGGTGTGGGGGGGAGAGGACTCTCTTGTGCAGCACTGCAAAAATCTGGTAACTTTTTTTAAACTGTTTGTACATAAATTTTATTACATTTTCCCCTCCTAGAAATTAAAGCAGGACTTTTATTCCCCCCCCTGCCATGCCTGCACCATCCCTAACCAGATGGTTCTTTATTTCATTTTCCAAAATGAATAGTGGAAGGGGTGGGGAAGGAAGTGGTTGTTAGCCTATTCTGCTTCTGTCTTGCTTTGTTTATTCCAGGAGTTTAAGTGCAGGGATTTTTTAGTCAAGTCCTGAGGTTATCCACTGTGCTGAAAGGTTTTCCATGCTGTTTTCCAGTAGCATTTATGCTGCACTGAACTACGCCAGTGTAAATGGTTTCCAGCACTGCACTGTGTGTATAGAAAATGTCTTTTTCGTACAAGTCTGCCAATGTTTAAAGAAATCCTTTTGACAAGTAGTACAGTAGCTTTTTTATGTGATCAGAGAAATTAATATGAAGTTATTCTGTATTTTTAAATTGTCGTGAGAATTTTAAGAAATATTTAAAAATAAAATCAGATTGCTACAGATTCCTGCCCCAAACTTCGTTGTAGTTGTTCTGAATGTAGTGAGATTTTCCTGAAGTAAAAAACAACAACAAAACTCCCAGAAAACCACCAAATAAAAAAAAAACCAGCCCCAAAAAACAAACCCCAAGCAAACATGCAAACCCCACCAAATCCCCAAACCAAACAAAAACGTTCTCGCCACGTTGTGCTGGAGCACAGTACAGTGGTTAGGGTGGTAATGGAAGCGGCAACTTTCACTTTTCTGTGATGTGAGTCTGGGTTTCGGTCTCACTGACATTTCACTGTTTAACAGCTTTAAAGGGCAGCTTTTCGGTCTTTCTCCAGGTGTGGGTATACAACCGCTTGCCTGTGAAATACAGCTAACACTCACATGTTTATTTTGGCTGTTGGGAAGTGGTCTGTCTACTTTGTGTTGGAGCCACTTCAGAGGACTGTGTCAAGAGATCTGTATGGAAGTTGTCTGTCTGTTAGGCATGAGTGTTAAGCTTCAACGTTGTTCTTCCAGTTCATCTATAGCTAAAGCACCTCAAAACCAGACAGTTTTGAAGGCATAGATAACTTCTTAAAAAGTACTTGGTAAATCTGACACAGTTTTCAAAAATTGCTTTTGAAAAGCCAGACAGCTGGTTTTTTTTTAAATTTAATAAGAAAAAACAACCAACCTCAAACAAACCCACCACCGTATCGCCTTTCAAAATCATACTCTTTAATGGTAGATCTGCATTTATGTGGTTGGTTTTAGTTCTCTCAGTTTTCATACAGATCTGCTTCCAGGCTGGGGAAAAAATCCCTCTAGTGTGTACCCCTTAGCCATCTTCAGACACAGTCAAAAGTGTCTCGGCTGAACTCCGGACTCGGTTCATATATTTATTTCTGACAATTGTTTCTTGCTTCTCTTGATGTACACCTGAGGAAATACAGTGATTGTGCGCGTGTGTTAACTTAATTTTCTTTTTTCCAATACAGGAGTGGGTTGGACAAGTAGAAATAAGTGCCCTTTCTCTTATGTACAAGTAAGAAAACCTTTCAATATGTCTTACTGAGATCAGTTATTTTGTTAGCGAACCAGCTGGAATAGCAAAGATGCGGTTGTATGTTATACTATGGTTCTCCAGAAAATGATAGATAGGCTTTGAAAATTGCAGCTGTTAAGGTATGACATAGAAGTAGAAAAGCGAGCTTCGAAAATGACATTTATTCAGGGGTTTGAATACGGTTTGCAATCATGCCATGCATCTCACCTGCACGACTTGATTGTGGGTGGAGTCATACAGTTGGTGTTTTGTAAACTTTCACGTCTTAATTTCTCTGTTAAAATTGCTTTTCTTCCTATTTCTTACCAGAGCTTTAATATTAACCCCATTGCTAAGCGGTGGGCGGTGCCCATTCGTAGGGAGATGGTGAGGAAGCACTGCTGTAGCGTCCTGGTGTGAGTGTAGTAGGCTCTGTGCTCGAAAGCTGTTTCACTTACCCCCTGGTATGAAGTTGTAGGCACTGACAGAAGGTTACCTGGTGTACTGCTGCAGATTATTCCTTTTCCCACTGTATCGGAGTATGTGTGTATACACACTCATCAGTATATGTTTATAATCTTGGGGAGGAATAGTTTCGCTGATGTATTTGTGTTAAATGTAATCCTGCACATTAATCTTCCTTCATGTAGTAGTATGAAATGATGTGCTGAATATCTCTGCTTTCTAATTACTGTGCGAGGGAATGAGCAATGTGCGGTGTCTTTCTGCTGTTTGTAAACCAGTTTAAAAAACAATCAGTGTTTCAAAATGCTTACAGTAAATTAATGACTTTCTTTGTACCTTGACTGTTGATGAGACAGATGGTAAGAGGAAATAAACTAGTGAAATACTACCTTGAGGTGCTTAGATAAGCGCTGAGTGCAGGCAATCGCATGAGGTTCTATCTTTGCACGTTACGTGACTAACGGGACGGTTGAGAGCTGCATGGGTGGAAGAGGACTGAGCTGAAAGGCAGAGTGAAGTTAGGCTCAATAGGCTTAGAGGGAAGGTGCGATGGTTGGATTGAGCCAGGGTGTAGGTGGACACAACTCAATTTAAGTCCAGAAAATTACGTGCTTGATGGCATTTCTCTTGGCTGGCAATACAACAAACAGAAGATCCCAACTATCCAGTTCCGATGTATTCTCGTGAAATAGAGGCGGTTTATTTTGAAGTCGTGCTATGTTGGTATCCAGGATCACAGCTGATAAATGAACACAGAGGCAAATCCTGGTTGGTAACAGTATTTTTTAAATTGCCATTGGAAATGGGAGGAGGCTTGGGGCGTGGCTGCAACTCTCTGTGGTACTTCACTGCAGAGGGATAATAGACCCTAGGTAATAGGGAGAGTAATAGCCTGGCTTTTACTCAAAAGGCAGTTTAGAAGCTCTGGGAAAGTAGGAATAGTGACGGAGGTAGGGGGAAGAGAGTGGTTTCCCTTCCTTCGTGCTGGCGGACAGAAGGAGAGCAGAAGTACACATTTCCTGTTCTGTGCCAAGTGGAGAAGTGAGAGAGTTTCAGACTTCTCAAGCATAGGGTAGAAATACAGTATGGATAGCTTTGTCCTCATTTTCATTCCTCAGACCTGTCACAAGCATAGTTTGGTTATCCGGTTCAACTTTCTATGCTTTTCAAACTAACAAGCTGAAAAAACAAGTCTAAGCGTGGAATGTAAATTCTGATTTTGCTTAACTGTAGTAGCTCAACTCTTCATATGTGGTATTTTTAATCCTCTGAAATGGAATGAGGTACCCAAACTTAGTTTGCAGTGGTAAAACTTCTTTAAACCTCTCTTGATAACCGCTCCGGACTGATACCATGGGTGGTGAGTAGCTGCCAACACTGCAGTGGCACGCCACCTGCCGGTTCGGTCCGAGCTTCCCAAAGCGTGGTTTCCGTTCCCTCGGTTGGAGGGACATCAGAGGGGTTTCTCTGCCACCTGAAATCCAGCCGTTTGAGTCTGATGAACACAACGTGATGTTAGACTCCACACTTCATGGAGTCTTCATCCAAAGGGAAAGGGGAGTGGAGGCCTCTGAATGTCCTTTTTGCAGTGTATTATCCATTTTGAAATGCAGGAAAAGGTTCTTCTCGCTGCACGTGAACAAACTGAGGCGTGTGGAGTGCAGGGTTTTCAGGGGTTTGGGAGGCTTGGTTCTTCCAGTTCCTGATACTTGGGCAGCTGCTGTGGCAGCTGGGCCACAGTTTGGGAGCAGAAACGTGTGGACCCTTTTGAGCATGAGAACCTGGTTTGGGCGGCAAGATGAGTTTCTGAGCAGACATGGGCTATTCTGTTGGCTGCCCTCTGTGCCCAAAAGGATCGTCACACGCGTGTCCTCAGCCTGCTAGCACAGATTTAGCCGAAGCCACTGCTCACCTTCTGGAAGCATCGCCATTTCCTGTCTCTGTTCATAAAACCGAGCACCTCTTTGTTCCGGTGGGTTTCCAGGTGGCAAAGGGTAATGAATTTCTCCAGGACTGGGGTGCCGTCACCTTTCCAGACACACCTACAGAAAGTGGTGTCTTGAAGTCTGTTTTCCTTGTCAGCAGCTCTGTGCATGTCGTGCCAGCACATCTGATTCCAGTATATTCTTTCACAGAAGTGAGCTGTTTTATTGACCAGTGATAGTTGTACCCGTTGTCTTCAGTATCCTCTTCCACTAAGTGTTTTCTGTGGTTATGTACGTTCCTTGAACTTGAATATTCCAGTTTTTATTGATACTAATTTTCAAATGATTTCTTAACTCTACTTTTTTCTCAGGAAAGATTTCATAATATATCGGGAACCAAATGCTTCTCCTTCACACGTAACTGAAAATGGCTTTTCTGATAAGGTAAAAAAATAATGATGGCTGTTGTTGTAAAGGCTGAATTAAGACTGTTTTATAAACAGCAAATAGTTTCATGTGAGTTTTGTTACCTGACACAACAAGATGTTTTGAGAATTCAGTTTTAACATTCTTTTTTGTACACATTTAAGGCAGCTATTCTGTCAATACATGTAGCACTTCTTTTTCAACAGATGGTCCATATTTGAGGTCTGGTATCTAAAATTCTAGTAATATAAAAGGATGTAAAAATCAACTCACAAGTGCTAACTCCCACAGCTACCTCTGTCTTCAATTCATTTTGACTTTTGCTCAATTTTTTTTTTTGTTGTTTAAAGGACATCTACGAAACATCTTGATCATTTATTGATAATCTGAGAGAGATAACAAAGCACATCAGTCCATTAAATTGAATTTAAAAGGTAATTTTCATATGAAAAATCAAGTGAGGTGCAAACCCTAACATATCTGTGTGTTTTTATTAATAGGTATTGCTGTGCTTCTCAAATGGAAACCACTATGATATTGTTTATCCCATAGAGTATTTAGAAAAGGCTGCTCTGTGCCAGTGTAAGTATTATGTTTGTTAGTTAAAAGCACGTATTTTTACCAAAAATGTTAGGATCGCCATCAGGTTTCAGGAAGAGGCTCTGTATGAAAGTTTTATAGTCATTTTTTAGTAGCTTGATTTTCCAGTTGAATAGTCAATGATGGTATGACTTTTGTGAGAGCAGAAATTCTTATTGTGTCCTGATTCTTGACCAAGCAGATTATATACCAAGAGAAGACTTATCAGCCTCTGAACCTGGCTGGTGTAATGTAAACAGCAAATGTTGGTGTGGTAATTTATAATCTGTTGCATTATCTTTGGTCAGCATTCTAGTTCTACTTTTGTATTTCAGACTGTGTTAGCAAACAAACTCTTATGTTAAAATTATCCTTGCACCTGTAACCTGTCACAGACATGAGGGGGGGTTGCCTGTGCAAAAAGTAAGTCTTCATGGGTTACTGTTTTCTGTAGTAGGTTGCAGAACAGCCCAAAAGTCTCAGTCAGGTTTGATGGGTCACTGTGACGCTCCCTACAAAGGTTCTCATTCTTCGTGAAAACTCTGCTGATGTGCAGAGTTATAAGGCTAAGGCCAAATTTGCCTGTCCAGACCTGATTTCTAGCAGCTTCATGCATATCCATTAAGCCGCAGTAGTGGCAGCTGGTTTTGCATCTGATGCCTTCACTGTTTCAATAACACATGGAAGTGCTTGCTTGCTTGGACTGAAGTCATTTGAAATGCATCCCTACTGGTGGTGTCAAGTCTCAGGTACCTCGTAACTGATTTTGCCCGGCCACTTTCTCCTGCCTTTCCCCAGCTCTGCTGTATGAGTTGCTGTATGAGAAGGTATTTGACACGGATGTAAAGAAGATCGTAGCAGAGCTTAGTGCTGTTGGTGTGACAGAGGAGAGCAATGGTAGCAGTGAAGTGTCTGCTTCAGATTCAGACGATGACAACTACAGGTGAATGAAATTTCAAAGTTAATGCAAGATGCCTGTGAATGATATGTGTTAAATGAGTTTTCTGAGTTTCTGGTGGGTAGTACAATCTAGCATTTAGGGTTGAAAACCTTTGCAGATTACTAAGGAGAAACACAAAGAAGTAAGGTGAGAACTATGAAAGAATGAAATATGTGATCTTCACTGCACCTGAGGACAGGGTTCTGGTGGCTCTGTTTTCCTGGCAGTCTGGCTTTCTTTACATGATGGAACATTGCCATTGCAACATGTCCTTCTTCCTGTTTCAAACAGCAGGATCCCCTGGGATAATTGTCAGTGTGGCAGTCTGACATGGTAAACTCCATGAGAATTAATTGGCTTGCTCTTGCAACTGAGTAGAGTTACAGGAATCGCATCCAAGTTGTGTTGCTTCCACATCTGGGAGCTGAAATGTGTGCCTGAGATGTAGCTGAGGGAGAAGTACAGACGCAGCTTGCTTCATTTTACTCCTTGATCTTCATGAAGTGATTATATTTGTGGGTTTATATTCCGTTTGCTGGACCTGGATGCTCTAGCTAGCTTTGAGATTCTGACCTACTGATTCCTTTTGCACAGCAAGCCTTTCACGGTGCCATTTTTGCATTTACATATTGGCAATTTTTGTGCTGTTTAATACTTTTATTAAAACCCTTTCTTGTGTGAAATTCCACTGAAGCCATGGAGATTATGCTGTAGTAGTGTAGTACGTTCCCTATTCCTGCTGGACGTC